TACTGGTGGCGTCCAGAGTCAAAGACTGGGAACCCTTTTACCTGTGAGGTGAAAGCAGACGGCGCGCCCAGCTACCTGTGGTGGAGCCAACGATGGCGGTGTTCTGGTCCACAGCCTCCAGGAACTGGCCGATGACCAGAGGGATGCTCTGTATCCTCTTCACCTCCTCCTGAGCGTGAAGGAACTCCTTCTTCAGGTTCTTCTGCTCATCCTTGATGTACTCCTCCTGCACCTCCAGGAACTCCAGCTCCTGCTGCAGCTTCTGTAAACAAACCCAGGATCAGCGGCAGACCTAACTAAGATCAGCAGAACCTCAGGACTGGCTTCTAGTTTCAATCAAAACATTTACTTTCTGGTAGTGCTGGGCGATAAATCCAGTTCATTTGATTAATTTATGTTCTTAAAAGTCCAGGATTTAAAATTTTGCTAAATTATAAAATCCAGGAAGTCTCTTCTTCTACTTTTTTTTACCTGCGTGTTGCTTCCTCCACCTCTTTCCTCCTTTCGCCCGATAGCATTCTGGTTTACTGACGCCATGGCCGCTGCTCAATCAGAGGAACAGGTACCAAGAAAAGAGACTCGCGTTTCCTCCATTATTTGGAAGTGGTTCGGCCGATGTGGAGCAGACTACAGTCGTGGACAACTAAAGCCGGGCTTACGCTGTACGATTTTTTGCTCTCATCAGGCTGATTTTCCAGTTGTGCAAGAATTTATTTCCATCAGCCTGATGAGGGTCAAACAGAGCGGGGATCCAGGTGGGAAAAGGGTCCCAGCGTTCTCACGCACCTCGCTCTTCTAGCTGCTCCTTCTTCACCAGTCGTTTTCAACATGGCGGTCAGACAGACAAAACAAGCCGGTAAGGAACCAAACAGGAAATAGGCATAGTGTAGAGCGGATGGAGGTTTGACCAATCAGAGGCCTCCTGTCTGCGCTCACCTACGATTCTGGACAGGTGCAGCATATCTGCATTAACTGCGACACACGCAGACGACCTGGTTTCTGAGCATAAACCAGATTTAAGGCGCCCCACAGAGTGCGAGCAGCACTCACAGCTCTGGGTGTTGCAGCGTCGGGCCGAGACGAGCGCGACCAGAACTAGAAAAGACCACAAACCCAGGCCGCCTCATTTTCCAGAGCCGTACTTCAGGTGCGCGGTGGAAGCAGACGGTCGACGCATCATATAGGGATGGACATGGCGCCCATTAAAACCGTAGAGTAGCCCGGCTTCCTTCATGTGCTTAAAGCGTGTCATCCGATATACGACCCACTGAGCTGCAGATACTTTACGGAGGCTGCGCTACTAAAACTGTAGAAGGAAACGTGAAAAGCTCTCTGGGAAAAGCTGGACTCTGCTCTGTTTTTAGAGCTACTGCAGACCGTTGGTCCCGTCGGTCTCTTCAGAGTTCACCTGCATTATATCGAGCTGAACTGGGCTCCCAGGAGCCGCTGCTAACAGACCACCATAGATATCAGGCTGTGTCTTTCTTCAGCCAAATAGAAGTAACCTTGAACTGGTCTCTATGCTGGAGTTATGTGGGGAGGAGGGAGGGGGGCGACGGAGAGAAGTTTCCTCCTCACTCTAGACAAGGATGAAATATAGAAACTTGCCCTTTCAAGACTTTAAGACTCCCTAAAGCTGTGAGCGGCAGAGACGGCTGCTTTAAAATGTTTTTATCCGACTAGTGAAAAATGTCCGTCTTTGATGAACTGAAGTCCCAATGTTCATGTGAGAAATCTCTTTATATGCAGGCGGGAAACCCCCCCGCCTCACTGACAGGTCAACTCTTCTCTGCACAGAAAATTAAACTTTTTCTTCCTTTGCATTTTACAACTCAGAACTCATCTTACTCCACAAAGTTATTGATTTGTTGATAAATTGCATCTTTCAGCAAATTAAGCTCATTTTTTCTTGCACTTGTAGTGAATATATAGGTTTACATTTTTTACTGATAAAATAAAATCAGTACAATTATTTTTGGGTGAACATTTATGTTACTTGTGTGAAAAAGATTTAGGTTATGAATATTTACGTTGACATTTTTTAACAACACATTTATTGTTGGCTAAAGATTATTTACAAGATATAATTGAACCTATTTTAAAATACATGTTTTAAATAACTGAAAAAAAATTGCTGAAAGTAAAGTCCTGAAGGTAAACTTCACTCAGACATAAAGAAAACCTGGAACCTTGTATCTGCTGTAGAGGTCCTCCAGATCCTCTGGTTCTGGTGCCAGGAAGGACAGAGCAGTCTGAGGTCTGGAGCTCAGGACTGAGGGCGCCTCCTCCTGGAAGGATGAACATACAAACACTGAGTAACACTCCTTTTCCTCTCCTCCTCCC